TGGTTTCCTTGTGATCTCCATTGTTGTTGATTTGGAGCATTGCTTCTTTGACCTTGATAATTGTTGACATATTGAACCTCTTCATCTTGCTCATCATATGAATCATCTTGATTATACCCACTATTACTTTGCTCAAATTTTTCCGGATGGTTTTGTACTTGTTGACCTTGTTGTCGTCTCTTTTTTACTATCATGTTCACCCCTTCCATATCATTCACTTGTTTCGGCCCTTGAACCTGTTGAAGCTGAGCCTTGGCCAATTGGTTCATGGTGGTTGTCAACTCCGCAATAGCTTTTCCATGATCATGTAGCTCCTTGTGTAGGTGAATAACATTTGGGTCACCCTGAGGAACATTGGCTCTACTTTGCCACGCCGAAGAGGTGTCTTCCATCTCATCCAAAATTTCACAAGCTTTAGAATAAGGCGTGTTCATGAAGTTACCCCCAGCGACTTGATTTACCACACACTGATTTGTTATGTTGATCCCCATGTAGAAGGTCTGTTGGATCATGGCCTCGGTCATATCATTGTTCTGGCATTCTTTGACCATGATACAATATCTTTCCCAAATCTCATGCAATGACTCATTGGGCTCTTGTTTGAAAGCTAGAATTCCATCCCTTAGTGTAGCCATGTGCCCCGGAGAGAAGAATTTGGCAATGAACTTCTCGGCCAACTCATCTCAAGTATGGATGGAATGATTGGGCAATCTCTCTAACCAGTCCAAAGCCTTTTCCCGTAGAGGAAAGAGAAACAGCCTTAACCGCAATGCATCCTCGGGGATATTTGTTTGGTTACTCCCCTAACAAGTATCGACGAAACCCTTGATATGCTTGTAGGCATTTTGCTGTGGAGCTCCGGTGAAGAAACCCTACTGCTCAAGCAGTGTAAGCATCACGTTGGTTATTTGGAAGTTGCCCGCCCTAATCCAGGGCGGGACTATTGCACTTGCATAGCCCTCATTCGGCAACACCCGGTGCGCTGCTCTTGGTGGAGACGGTCGGCCTCGCCTGTTTACTTGAGGCTCGAGATGAACCTCATCCACTTGATAATCATCTACCTCCTCCCCCAAAGGTAAACTTTCGAGGGGCTCGTTGTTAAGGGCCATTTTGTACCTAAAAGCAATTCACAAACAAAATTAGTGACTTAGAAGGAAAGAAAGACAAAACACACAAATACCTAGATATATAGCTAAATCCGTTTAACTCCCCGGCAACGGCGTCAAAACTTGATCTCGGCCAAACCCACACCACAATTTAGTAGTGAGGTGGTCGATGCAATAATAAACCCAACAAAGGTCGGGATTGAATCCTCGGGGAGTTAGAATATGAGATTAGGTATATATCTAAGTTAATTATAAGTTTTGACTCCAATTACACTTCCACAAACTTGATTGGTGTTCTACTTCTACTTTACTCTATTGTTTGCAAGAATAAAACTAAGGACAATACTTTTGGTTTTGAGTTTTTCAAATGATTAAAAGGGACTAGGGTCATGACTTGTACCTAGGTTGTTATCTAATGGGTTGTAAACTCCACGGCAAATTTGATTAGTTGGGGTCGTGATGTAGCAATCATATCCGGGTACTCACTCTATATCTCTCGGTAGTTTGAGTGATTTTGCCCGATTTGGCTTTCTCAAGCCCAAATGGGTATTTGAACAATACAAGTTATATTAGCTCAAGTCGGGTATTACTATCTCTAGGTTTAACCCTTTAATTGGGGCTATCAATTTCTTGAGTTCACCCTAATTTATTGTTAGCCAAGTTTTTCTAGACTTAGTCTCTCTTTCTCAAGTAGAGGCTAAGTTAAATAGGCATGAATCAATGTTTGCAACCATTGATTCTAGGGTTCAACCATGAACAAGGCTAAATATCACTAACACAATCATAAACAAGCCCTAAATTAAATATCCATCAAATACCCACACTAGGGTTGGGTCACAACCCTAGCTAAAGATTTAGCTACTCATGAAAAATAAGGAAATACAAGAAGAAATTAAGATAGAATGCATAATAATTAATTAGACAAAGAAAATCTAATGTTAAGAAGTTAATTTAGTACAAAATTACTCAATACAGTAAAGAAAAAGGCCCAGGTGCACTTTTGAAAACTCAACTTAACCTAAAAATGACAAAAAATTCTATTTATACTAAGCTGAAAATATCCGACAAAAATACCCCTATGAAGGTTATGCGGACGTATAATTTTGGTGCGGTCCGCACAATGAGCTACTGCGACCGCACAATTATCGTGCGGTCCGCATTCTTGGGAACTTGGGCATGGAACTTGGGGGCTTCTGTAGTCCGCATAAAAATGAGTGCGGCCGCACAAAACTGATGCGGTTCGCACTCCTTGCTTTTTTGGACTTGACAAAGCTCTGTGATTCTTCATTGTGGACCGCATAATAATGAATGCGTCCGCACAATTTTGGTGTGGTCCGCATGCCTTTAGCTGGCCCAAAAACTACTCTCTCAATCTCCCCTCTGTGGCCGCACTAGAATTGTGCGGTCCGCACTGCTTGCCTTTTGCCCTGTTTTGGTTCTTGTTCACTTTTGACTCCTTTATGAGTTGATTTTGACTTCTTTGGCTCGTGTCCCAATATTCCTGCAGGTAAGCATATTTTTTTAGTTTCCGAGAATGCCTTTAAGCATTTTTGAGCTAAATCGCAAGTAAAAGAGAGAAAATAATCGATCAAAATCCCTACTTATCAAGCACAACTGCCCCAACCCTTCGCGAACACGACTGCCTTATCGTGAACGCGTAGAACAAAAATGTCCCCATCTCAGTTCCTTCTCCGCGAACGCGGGAGTCCCCTCGCGTTAGCGGGAGTCCCGAAACACGCCCGAGGCCCCCGGGACCTCGTCCAATCACACCAACCAGTTCCAATACATAACATGAACCTGCTTGAGGCCTCAAATCACATTAAACAACGCTAAAACTATGAATCGCACTCCAATTCAAGCTTGGTGAACTTTAGAACTTCAAACTTCTATATTTAACGCCAAAACCTATCAAATCAAGGCTGATTGACCTCAAATTTTGCATACAAGTCATAATTGACATAACGAACCTACTCCACTTCCGAAATTGAAATTCGGCCCAGATATCAAAAAGTCCGCTCCCGGTCAAACTTTTCAAAAATCATCCAATTTCCAACTTTCGCCAATTGATGTCGAAACGACCTACGGACTTCCAAATCAACATCCAGACATGCTCCTAAGACCAAAATTACCATACGGAACTATTCCCATGCTTGGAATCCCAAACAGATATCGATGACATCAAAATCCTCATCAACCCAAACTTAAGGAATTCTTAAACCTTCAAAATACCAACCTTCCGTAATAAGTACCGAAATATTCCCGGGCCACCTGATACTCGGCCTGAATATATGCCCAAGTATGATTTTATCATACGAACCTATTGGAACCTTCAAATTTCGATTTCGAGGTTGTTTACTCAAAAGTCAAACCTTAGTCAATTCTTCCAACTTAAAACTTCCGGACTTAGAATTTTCTTTCCAATTCAACTCCAGCGTCCCGAAATTCGATTCCGACCACACGTACAATTCATAATACCTGAAGTGAAGATACTCAAGGCCTCAAACCGTCTAACGATGCGCTAGAGCTCAAAGCGACTGGTCAGCTCGTTACACAGGTAGCAGACCATTTGTCACACTTGGAAACTCAAGCACATATTGAGGAAGGGGGTGAAATTCAGGAAAGTTTTCCTGATGAGCAATTGCTAGCCATCACAAATGGCACGGCCCCATAGTATGCTGACTATGTGAACTTTATTGTAGATTGGGTGACTCTGTCAAAGTTGTCACCGGATGGTAAGAGAAAATTCATGCATGATGTTATACTTTATCTAACGGATGATTCGTTCTTGTTTAAGCATTGTGCAGATCAGTTGGTACGCCAATGTGTTCCTGAGGAAGATATGAAAGCAATTATACATTATTGTCATGCATCACTGTTTGGGGGGCACCATGGTGGAGACAAAATGGCTGCAAACGTATTGCAGTCGAGATTCTATTGGCCCAAGTTATTCAAGGATGCACATTCTTTTGTGAAAAGATATGATAGGTGCCAAAGGACAAGTACAATTTCGAGAAGGCATGAGATGTCATTGAAGGGCATAATTGAGGTTGAAATCTTCGATATTTGGAGAATAAACTTCATAGGGCCGTTTCCAACATCAAATGGCCATCGGTACATCTTGGTTACAGTTGACTATGTGTCAAAGTGGGTTGAGGTTGTGGCTTTGCCTACGAATGATGCTAAGGTGGTGGTGAGCTTTGTCAAGAAAAATAGTTTCACGAGATTTGGAACTCCACGTACTTTGATCAGTGATGAAGGTACTCACTCTTATAACAAACTATTGGGCAACCTCATGGCTATGTATGGGGTGAGACACAAGGTCGCAACTTCTTATCACCTGCAAACCAATGATGAAGTGGAGGTCACAAATAGGGAGGTGAAGCAAATTTTGGAGAATACTGTGAGCACCTAATTTTTGCCCCACATAGGAAATTACTCCTAAAAATAATCCAAAAATGACTTTAATTGTTTATATGAAATTTAGAAGTTTTTCTTTATTTAGTTTGCATTTATTCGCATTGTTTATGCATGTTAGGAATATCGTAAATCATAAAAATGTTCAATTCTTAATTTCATAGCATTTTAGATTTTAAATTACATTTTAGGATTTAATTACATTGTTAAATACATTATATAAATATCTTAAAACCAAAAATAAATGTATTCTTAGGTTAGTTAATTAATTAGGTCATTAGTCAATTAGTGAGTAAAATATTTATAATAGTTTAGCCACACAAATTGATTTTAATTAAAATTTGAGTCCAAAATGACTAATTTTGCAATTGTTTCAAGCCCATCCCTTTAGAAGCCCAATTTTCATGACCCGCCTGGCCCAACCGGATCCCCCTTTCTTTAAAAAACTCATTTTACCAAAACTCCAAAAAAAAGAACACACCTCGCCCCCCTCTCTGAAAAAATGGACGATCCCCTCCCCTTAACCTAAAAAACCCGTCGCCACCCCTTCTTCTTCTTCACTCTCATTTCTCACCTCCACCCACTAATACACGCACCCTCACACACACGAATATTCATCCAAAGACTCCCACAAGCATTCCAAAAAAAACTAAAAAAAACAAAACAAAGTTTCTACGAATTCGAAACTTGATTTCGGATCTGAAACAAGAATTTTCAAAAAAAAATGAAAGAAGAAGAGAAGTTGTAGAAGAGAAGATTTCAAAGTTGTTATATGTTCTGGGTTTCTCCAAAAGAGTGAGTTGGCTGTTTGTTTGCTGCTGTATCTTTCAATTAGTAGCTGATCTCAACTTGTAGCTGTGCTTTTCGGCCTTGACTTGGTTATTTGGAACTTTATTACTGCTGTTAAGGTACTGTTTTCCCTTCTCGGTCATGTAATTCTCCTTTTGATTCAGTGAGAACATGCTTACAATGCTATGGCAGTGATAATTATGTGTTTCTTTGTGGGATTTAGCAGTTCTTATCACTGTTTGGTATTATGCCATCAACTGATTGTACATAAGTGTTGATTCAGGCCTATTTACAATATCTCGTATTTTGTTAGTTGAATTTATGTAGTAATTAATGATGAAGATGAGCCATGTTGCTGTGTGTATGTAGCTGTAGTTTCGTGAATCTTACTATTAGCCGGTCAGATCTGAAAATTTTAAAGCTAAGGTAAAATAGGGGCATGCAATTTCTTCTCTATCGATTCAGTTAATTTCAAAGTAAAATAGCCAGTACTCGTTGCTACTACTGTACCTGATTTGTGATTTTTGTGATATACTCCTATTGTATCCTTGGTTCTATCATCATTTTTCCTTTGGTAGTTTGTTATTACTGTTTTCCTTTGCTAGTTTGTTAGAATTGTTAGATTAATTAATCTTTGTTATTACTGTTTCCTTTTTGGTAGTTTGTTAGAATTGTTAGACCAAGCAATATTCAATTGCTTATTTATAAAAAATAGCGTTTCATTGTTGTTGATTCTCTTTTCCTATTGTTCTGGGTATACATGTGGTATTAGTTATATTTGAGTAATGGCCTTCAATTTGCTCGGCTAATATGGGCAGTCATGTATGAGTTTAGTAATTTGTATTAAGTAATTAAATTTGATTGCATAAGGAGTTTTCTTTGGCAGAATACAAATTAGTTATGTATAGGGGACTTCCGGGGCTATATGACAATTTAACAAGGACAAAAGTTAACACTCTATCCACAACAACTTCCATAATCCATGGCCTTATAATAATCAAATTTAGGGAAAAATAATAATCTATGAACACGCGCTAGTTGTTTTAGGCTCGATTAATAAATCATCGTGACTATTGGTACGGTTCCCGTGGCATAGTCATGATACGTAATTCCCAATTCGAGTGTGCGTTTCACATAACTCGACCATAACTTCAAATAATAATAAAAATAAACATGTTGTGAATCACGGGTGCGTTTCACGTGATGCGATTCCCAACGTGTACAAAAATAATAAGTGTGCGACATCGCGACTTATTTAAATAAATTTCATAAATCTTAAAAAGCAATTAAAATAATTAAAAATGGTTAGAAAGTTAAAAATACACAATAGGTTTAAAACATGTAATAAATTAGATAATTAGGCCAAGTATTGATAGTTGAGCGACCGTGCTAAAACCACGGAATTCGGGAGTGCCTCACACCTTCTCCCGGGTTAACAGAATTCCTTACCTGGTCTTTTGTGTTCGCGGACCATAAATATAGTCAATTTCCTCGATTTGGGATTTAAAATAAACTGGTGACTTGGGACACCATAAATTATCCCAAGTGGCGACTTTGAAATAAATAAATAATCACATTTCGAATAATGTCACTTCAATTGGAAAAACTCCTCATCCCCTCGGGAAAAAGGAGATGTGACAAAGACAGTGGGCGCAAGTAGGAATGATTGGGCTATCAAGCTAGATAATGCTCTATGGGCATATCGCACTGCATACAAAACTCCAATTGGCGTTTCGCCGTACAGGTTGGTTTATGGAAAGGCTTTTCACTTTCTTGTTGAGCTTGAGCACAAGGCATATTGGGCAATCAAGAAGCTCAACTTTGATATGGATCTAGCTGGGAAAAATGGATGTTGCAACTAAATGATCTCGAAGAGTTTCGACTGCACGCATATGAGAATGTGAAGTTGCACAGAGAGAAAACAAAGAGATGGCATGATAAACACATTTTGCATCGTGAGTTCGAACTTGGTCAAGTTGTCCTATTATTCAAATAAAGGTGGAAGCTCTTTCCTGGGAAGCTCAAGTCTAGATGGTCTGGTCCATTTGAAGTAGTACAGGTTACGAAGCATGGAGTTCTTGATCTAAGGGATCCCAAAAGCAATGGCACGTTTTTAGTCAATAGGCAGAGTGAAACACTATTGGGGTGGTAGCGTTCGTCGTCACAAAACTTTGATAGACTTGGTGGATGCATGAGAAAATGTGTTGTGTCGTGCCGCGATGTTAAATCAAGCGCTTGTTGGGAGGCAACCAACTTTACTGCTTTCTTCTAGTTGTTATTTAGTTATATTAAAATAAAATAAAATAAAATATGGGGAGGCAACAGCTAGTGGAGCTCGCTTCGCAAGACTGAGATCGAGAATGTTGAGGAGCAAATTTTTGTGGGGGCAGCGAAGTGTGTCTCACTTTGCGAGACCGGGACCAAAGAGAGACCAAGAAAATAGAGTGGGCAGTGAAGTGCCCATGGCTTCGCAAAACTGGGACTGGCCACAACTGAGAGAGCAACGGGGCACGTCTCCAGGTCGCGCGTCACGCGGGCCTGGCGCGACCCCCAGGTTTTTTTTTCTGTTTCTAGTTATTTTACCAGATAAAAAGAGGTATCATAAAAATAAAAACCCTCTCCCTCTCTCACTAAAAAACGCACACCCCATTCCCCATTTTCCTTCCTCGCTATTCCCTATCGCCCCATCTCCACAAGGTAAGAACCCTCCTCCTCTCATTTTTTTTCTTTTTTTCATCTACTCTCCTCTTCCCCATGGAAGTATTCTCTAATTTTTGGTGAGGTTTAGTGAAGTCTGAATAGCTAACCTACCTCTACTGGCAATACAAACATCTTTTAAGTGTGGGGTGGTCTGTTGGGTGTCTTATGAACTTCAATTGTATTCTTTCTAAGAAATAGTCTCATCCGCGGCCGACTTAGGCACGAATTAGATATTGCCTTACCCACTTGTTTTTGAATTGTGCTAATTAAAATGAAATAACTATAAAGTTATAGATTGATACAGAGGAGCTCCAGACGGTTGATTTTAGTGCTACTGATGGCACTATTGCGGAGGAGCCATGACTATTCGTCGTGACTGTTGCGAGTGTGGGCAATGCTGCGACTGAGGTTCCTCCTATTTGGGAGGGCGAGCTAATTGAGGAAGTTGACGCGTCTAGCATCGCACTAGAGGGGCCAGCACTTCCGAAGACCGAGGTTCACAATCGGTCCTCGCCACGACCCCC